AGACTGGACTAGCCAATAAACTAGTCCATAGACTAAACAATACACTAGTCTGTAGATTAGTCCATAGAATAGGCAATAGGCTAGTCCATAGACTAGGCAATAGACTAGTACATAGGCTAGTTAATACACTAGTTCATAGACTAGTCAATAGACCAGTTCATAGGCTAGTCAATACACTAGTACATATACAAGGCTAGTCCATATACAAGGAAATAGACTAGTCAATAGGCAAGTCCATAGATTATGCAATAGATTTGTCCATAGACTAGGCAATAGACTAGTCCACTGACTAGGAAATATACTAGTCAATAAATTAGTTCATAGACTAAGCAATAGACTACTCCATAAACTAGGCAATAGACCAGTCCACAGACCAGTCAGTAGACTAGTCCATAGACTAGGCAATAGAATTTTCCATAGACTAGTCAATAGACTGAGCTTGATCAGTATATAGTCTTGACTGTATTTCATTCTATATAATTGTTTATAGATCAGACTATAGTCTTGACTACATATGAGTCTATAGTCTTGACAACAGATTACTAGTGATTTGTCTACAGTCTTGACTGTAGATCATTCTATAGTCTTGTTTATAGATCAGTCTATAGTCTGCACTACAGATTAGTATATAGTCTTGACTATCGATTACTAAAGATCAGTCTATAGTTTTGACTATTGATCTGTCTATAGTCTTGACTATGGATTAGAATATAGTCTTGACTATAGATTAGTCTATAGTCTTGACTACAGATTAGTCTATAGTCTTGACTATAGATTACTATAGATCAGTCTATAGTTGTGATTATTGCTCAGCCTTTAGTCTTGACTATAGATTATAATATAGTCTTGACTTTAGATTAGTCTCTAGTCTTGACTTTAGATTAGCATATAGTCTTATCTATAGATCAGCCTTTAGTCTTGACTATATGTAGATCTGTCTATGGTCTTGACAAAAGCTTAGTCTATAGTCTTGACTATAGATTAGTCTATAGTCTTGACTATAGATTAGTCTATAGTCTTGACTATAGATTAGTCTATAGTCTTGACTATAGATTAGTCTATAGTCTTGACTATAGATTAGCCTATAGTCTTAACTATAGATCAGCCTTTAGTCTTGATCTATAGATCTTTCTATAGTCTTGACTATAGATTAATCTATAGTCTTCACTATAGATCAGCCTTCAGTCTTGAATATAGATCTATCTATAGTCTTGGATATAGATCTGTCTATAGTCTTGACTATAGATTAAAATATAGTCTTGACTATACATTCGTATATAGTCTTGACTATAGATTAGTCTATAGTCTTAACTATAGATCTGTCTATAGTCTTGACTATAGATTACAATATAGTCTTTACTATTGATTAGTATATAGTCTTGACTATAGATTAGTCTATAGTCTTGACTATAGATTAGTCTATAGTCTTAACTATAGATCAGCCTTTAGTCTTGCCTATAGATCTGTCTATAGTCTTGACTATAGATTAGAATATAGTCTTGACTACAGATTAGTCGATAGTCTTGACTATAGATTACTATATAACAGTCTATAATTGTGACCATAGATCAGTCTTTAGTCTTGACTGTAGATCTGTCTATAGTCTTGACTATAGATTAGAATTTAATCTTGACTATAGATTAGTCTATAGTCTTGACTATATATCAACCTATAGTCTTGACTATAGATCAACCTATAGTCTTGACTATAGATTAACCTATAGTCTTCACTATAGATTAAGTCATAGACTAGCCTATAGACTACTCCATAGAATAATCAATAGACTAGTCCCTAGACTAGTCATCATTTGATCGTCCTTGTCTGACCCACACATCCTTACTTGTTTCCTTTATATCTCTTGTTTTATTAATTGCATACCATAAACTTAAACTATGTACTTATATATTTCATATATTGTTTTATATATAAAATATCCACTAAATCCAATAAATATCCACAAGAAGATTTAAGCATTTCATTTACATTATCGCCCACTTAAAAATCCTTATAATGTCATTTTTATTGTCTTTTATTCATAAAGTTATTTAAAAGAGGACAAAAAAAAAACAAGAAAAACTAAAAGGATTTTATATCATTAATCAAATATGCATTATTTTAAAAAGCAGTATATGGGAGTTTAATAAAATTTTGTTAAATACATATACATAAATGCAAAATATTGACCTAACTCTTTTACGGTTTTGCCGATCTTTCATTAGTTTTGCTTCTAATTGTAGACCAAACCCCTTAATTTTATTTTTAGTTTATCAAACACTTCTGACATACAAAATTCCTACAATAAACCATCAATAACTTTATTAAGTATATATTTTATAATCTCAAATCTATACTATTTTTGATAAAAGCTCATATATGTTTACACACATTTACGTAATATGTTCATATGTTTGTGTGTATGTATTGTAAAATGCACATAATAACATCTTGTAAATCTCTTCTGATTTATTGTCGTTTTATTTAAACGCTACTGGTTTTTATGGCCCCATATTAACTGAATGACTTTATGGAAATTTATATGAGTTTAAGTCAAAAACAAAATATTGTCAACATAATAAAGGGTGTTTAACAAAAACAATAAACTTTTAATTGACAACACTATTAAAAAGCACAACACATTTTGGAAGATCTTACAATAATAATTGTTAAAATTTTGAAAAATTCCAAAACAATTTCTTAATTTATAATTTTTACACCTTCAAAAAATCACCCTTTATTAGAGTGTGTATTTGTGGGAGAAGCACTATTTATTGCAACATATGCATTGTATGTGTAGTTTTTGTTGCACTACTGGTGCATGTTATTTATTCTTTATAAAATGCATTTTATTTTTGTTTGTTATTCAACACCTGTCATTAATAAAAATTTAGCATGAAAAATATTTAATTATATCCTACACACAACTACAATACAGAGAGTATTATGCGTTTTTGCAAGGATGAGGCCTTTGGTCCCATACAAATGTGATAAAAAAAACACTCAAACACTCTGTAGCCAAAACTATAGGTTGATCTATAATTAAGACTATAAATTGGTTATAGACTGATCTATAGTCAAGACTATAGACTGAAATTTAGTCAAGACTATAGACTGATCTATAGTCAAGACTGTAGACTGATCTATAGTCAAGACTATAGACTGATCTATAGTCAAGACTACAGACTGATCTATTGTCAAGACTATAGATTGATCTATTGTTAAGACTATGGACTGATCTATAATCAAGACTATAGACTGATCTATTGTCAAGGACATAGACTGATCTATAGTCAAGGGCATAAACTGATCTATAGTCAAGACTATAGACTAATCAATAGACAAGATCTATAGTCAAGATTATAGACTGATCTATAGTCAAGACCATAGAGTAATCAATAGTCAAGACTATATATTGATATATAGTCAAGAATATAGACAAACCAACAGCCAAGACCATAGACTGATCTACAACTAAGACTATAGACTGATTCTATAGTCAAGACTATAGACTAATCTATAGTCAAGACTATAGACTAATCTATAGTCAAGACTATAGACTGATCTATAGTCAAGACTATAGACTGATCTATAGTCAAGACTATATACTGATCTATAGTCAAGACTATAGACTGATCTATAGTCAAGACAATAGACTGATCTATAGTCAAGACTATAGACTGATCTATAGTCAAGACTATAGACTGATCTATAGTCAAGACTATAGACTGATCTATAGTCAAGACTATAGACTGATCTATAGTCAAGACTATAGACTAATCTATAGTCAAGACTATAGACTGATCTATAGTCAAGACTATAGACTGATCTATAGTCAAGACTATAGACTAAACTATAGTCAAAACTATAGACTGATATATAGTCAAGACTATAGACTGATCTATAGTCAAGACTATAGACTGATCTATAGTCAAGACTATAGACTGATCTATAGTCAAGACTATAGACTGATCTATAGTCAAGACTATGGACTGATTTATAGTCAAGACTATAGACTGATCTATAGTCAAGACTATAGACTGATCTATAGTCAAGACTATAGACTGATCTATAGTCAAGACTATAGACTGATCTATAGCCAAGACTATAGACTGATCTATAGTCAAGACTATAGACAGATCAATAGTCAAGACGATAGACTGATCTATAGTCCAGACTTATAGATTTTTTTTAAACTTTATTTTCAATTTAGTATAAAAGATATTTAAATATTTTTTTAGAAATTTCAACATTTACATAATTTAATCATATGCATTTCCTATTGGCCATTTCATTTATTTAAACCAACTTTCTTAACAGTCATTTTCTATACACTTCAACTAGAATTAGGTCAATTGGTTTCATTTCATATTGTAATTAATTTTTTTTTTAAATTTACCTTTATTTTTAGTTTTATATGTTTGTTATGCAATTCACTATTAGAATTTGACCAAAGAGGTTTCTATTAAGAAACTTTGATTTCATGACTTTGCACTTTCTAAAAAAGAAAATATTTTTCTTATTTCTAATTTTCATTATATTCTACTCCCTTTTAAACTCTTGCTTTAGATAGCCAAACATCTTGGGCACAAATCTCAAGTGTCTTATGCAACTTCGTTGTTGTTCCTCAATATTGTGTACTTGCCACTGCAACCCAAACTTATTTAAAAAATTTTTCAGTAAAATAGATTTGCCATTATCACATGCAAACCAAAAACAACAGAAAAAAACTTTTCAACGCGCTTAATTACTTGTGTATTTGAGTTTCTTTTTTGTTTCTACGTTTTGTCTCAAGTTTTGACTTCTAATTAAACTTTTGTAATTATTGTCGGTTTGATTCGGTTTTACTGTGGAACTATTGCTAGCGCAACACAAAACATAACAATGCTACGGCAGCAGCATCTACAACCGCATCCCCACAAGAGTATTTTAAATTTTTAATGATTTTTTAATATGAATTTCTTTTTATTCATTCTTTTATTTTTTCTTTTTTCTCGTCTTTTCAGTTTTCTTTTGTGATTTGGATGAAAAATACAAGATCATAACGGCTACTCGAATTTGTTATTGTACAACAACATTATGACCCCAACAAAGACCATCATAATATGGATGGTCATATTTGCATATATGGGCTGGAACCAAATTGGGGTCTTGGGTAAGTAGAGCGATAATATAGGAAGGGGTTTAAAGATATTGTCATTATGTTTGTGACACGTTTAAATATACAGCCATGGCAGCTAATGTACTCAAAACTATAGACTAATATATAGCCAAAGCTATGGACTGATCTTTAGTCAAAGCTATAGACTGATTTATAGTCAAGACTAGAGACTAATATATAGTTAAAACCATGGATTGATCAAGTCAAGACTATAGATTGATCTATAGACTTATATATAGTCAAGACTGTAGTCCAGACTATAGGCTGATCAATAGTCAAGACTATAGACTGATCTATGAACAAGATTATAGAATGATCAATAGTCAAGACTTTAGACCGATCTATAGTCAAGACCATACACTTATCATAGTCAAGCCTATAGACTGATCTATAGTCAAAACTATAGACTGATCTGTAGTCAAGACCATAGACTTATCTATAGTCAAGACTATAGACTGATCTGTAGTCAAGACTATAGACTAATCTGTAGTCAAGACTATAGACTAATCTGTAGTCAAGACTATGGACTGATCTACAGTCAAGACTATAGACTGATCTATAGTCAAGACTATAGACTGATCTATAGTCAAGACCGTAGACTGATCTATAGTCAAGACTGTAGACTAATCTGTAGTCAAGCCTATGGACTAATCTGTAGTCAAGCCTATGGACTGATCTATAGTCAAGACTATAGACTGATCTATAGTCAAGACTATAGACTGATCTATAGTCAAGACTATATACTGATCTATAGTCAAGACTATAGACTGATCTATAGTCAAGACTATAGACTGATCTATAGTCAAGACTGTAGACTGATCTATAGTCAAGACTATAGACTGATCTATAGTCAAGACTATAGACTGATCTATAGTCAAGACTATAGACTGATCTATAGTCAAGACTATAGACTGATCTATAGTCAAGACTATAGACTGATCTATAGTCAAGACTATAGACTGATCTATAGTCAAGACTATAGACTGATCTATAGTCAAGACTATAGACTGATCTATAGTCAAAACTATAGACTGATCTATAGTCAAGACTATAGACTGTTCTATAGTCAAGACTATGGACTGATCTATAGTCAAGACTATAGACTTATCTATAGTCAAGACTATAAACTGATCTATAGTCAAGACTATTGACTTATCTATAGTTAAGACTATAAACTGAGCTATAGTCAAGACTATAGACTGATCTATAGTCAAGACTATTGACTTATCTATAGTTAAGACTATAAACTGAGCTATAGTCAAAACTATAGACTGATCTATAGTCAAGGCTATAGACTGAGCTATAGTCAAGACTATAGACTGATCTATAGTCAAGACTATAGACTGATCTATAGTCAAGACTATAGACTGTTCTATAGTCAAGACTATGTACCGATCTATAGTCTAGACTATAGACTGATCTATAGTCAAGACTATAAACTGATCTATATTCAAGACTATAAACTGATCTATAGTTAACACTATAAACTGAGCTATAGTCAAGACTATAGACTGATCTATAGTTAAGACTATAAACTGAGCTATAGTCAAAACTATAGACTGATCTATAGTCAAGGCTATAGACTGAGCTATAGTCAAGACTACAGACTGATCTATAGTCAAGACTATAGACTGATCTATAGTCAAGACTATAGACTGATCTATAGCCAAGACTATAGACTGATCTATAGTCAAGACTGATCTATATTCGAGACTATAGTCTTAACTATATTCAAGACTATAAAATGTTCTACAGTTTAGACTATAGACTGATCTGAGCTACTGAACTGAGCTATAGTCAAAACTATAGACTGATCTATAGTCAAGGTTATAGACTGATCTATAGTCAAGACTATAGACTGATATATAGTCAAGATTATAGACTGATCTATAGTTAAGACTATAGACTGATCTATAGTCAAGACTATAGACTGATCTATAGTCAAGCCTATAGACTGATCCATATTCGAGACTATAGTCTTAACTATATTCAAGACTATAAAAAGTTCTACAGTTTAGACTATAGACTGATCTATAGTCAAGACTAACCCTTAATCAAGGCTAATGACTAATATTTAGTCAAGATTAAAAACTGATCTATAGTCAAAACTACAAATTGATCTATAGTTAAGAATATAGACTGATCTGCAGTTAAGACTATAGACTGATTTACAATCAAAACTATATACTGATTATAGTCTGTTCCACCGACATTATCGAATATTGCCATTATCCTATTCTTAAATTAAATTCTTCCATTTTCTTTTCTAGGTTTTCCAACTCTACACAATTTCCGACGCCAGGTGGTAAATTGGACACAACCCGAAGATGAATGGGAAATCCTTTCGTTACCACGTAGCATAACACCTCATGTAGAGCTTAAACACTATGACAATCGCACAAATGCCGAACCCTCGGAAAAAGATGACGAAGAGTTCCTCGAACGTCTAAGAAAACTGAAAAATCGAACATCTACCTCTCGCATGTTGTGGTACGGCGATAATACACCCGATGGTCTGGCCTATCCACCATTTGTCGATAAAGCTTTAAAACTGCTAAATCTAAAGCAGGTTTCCTATGAAATCGAAAATAGTCTTTTATCCAAAGTATCGTGTACGGCCTGTAAGGCAGGAGCAGGTCTACTCTTGCACTATATACACACGGGCAAGTCAGAACAGGAAATCATTAAAATGATTTATCAGTTTTGCGCTAATCTCAATATACAAAGCCCACGGGTATGTGAGGGTGTTTCCAGTTTGTTTGGCACAGAGGTGGTGTATGTTTTACAGCGCACTACTCTTAGTCCCGATGAGATTTGTAGTTTTGTTATAGGAGATGGTTGTGAAGATATCTATAATCCTTATCATGAATGGGAAGTTATATTCCCACCAGTACCTAAACCGCCAGTACTAGAGCTACCAGTACCTAAAGAGGGTGCTCCTTTCTTTAAAGTTTTGCATATATCCGATACTCATTACGATCCTCATTATGTTGAGGGTTCGAATGCCGATTGTAATGAACCTCTGTGCTGCCGTTTGAGTAGCGGTAGACCCTCAAATCCCAATGCAGCTGCCGGTAAATGGGGTGATTATCGTAAGTGCGATACCCCTAAAAGAACTGTCGACAACATGCTCTCCCATATTGCTGATACTCATAATGATATTGATTATATATTATGGACTGGTGATCTGCCCCCGCATGATGTTTGGAATCAAACGAAACAGGAAAATTTGGAAATTATTAAAGAAACTGTTAAACAAATGACTGAGAAATTCCCTGGTGTACCTATTTTCCCAGCTCTGGGTAATCATGAAAGTGCACCTGTCAATAGTTTCCCCCCACCTTATGTTAATCAAGTGGAAAATTCAATATCTTGGCTTTATGATGAATTAGATGTGCAATGGCGCAGATGGTTGCCTCAAAGTGTTTCGCATACCATACGCAGAGGAGCTTTCTATTCGGTTTTAGTTAGACCCGGTTTTCGTATTATATCTCTTAATATGAATTATTGTAATAATAAGAACTGGTAAGTTGTTTGTCATTTGGAACTCTCTACAGATTTTGATAATCTTTACTTATAGGTGGTTACTTTTAAACTCCACTGATCCCGCCACTGAACTGCAGTGGTTCATTTACGAACTTCAAAGTGCCGAATTCTCCAATGAAAAGGTACATGTTATTGGTCATATACCACCCGGGCATTCAGATTGTTTAAAGGTGTGGTCCCGCAACTTCTATAAAATCATCTCACGTTATGAGAACACTATAATGGCACAATTCTATGGTCATACTCACTACGATGAATTTGAAATGTTCTATGATCCTCATGATTTGGGTAAGTATTTGCCAAGATTAGGGTTAAACAAATTTGAATTAAAAAAAAATATTTTCTTTTCTAGGACACTCCAATAACATTGCCTATATTGGCCCCTCCGTTTCACCCTATTATGATTTAAATCCTGGCTATCGTATTTACTATGTGGATGGTGATCATGATACCACTACTCGCCTTGTGGTTGATCACGAATCTTGGATTATGAATTTGAAGGAGGCCAATTTATATGATTATCCTATTTGGTATAAATTGTATACGGCTAGAGCTGCTTATAATATGAAAGCTTTGAGACCTGTGGACTGGGATAATTTGATAAATGAGCTGACGCATAATCAAGAGTTATTTGATTTGTATTATAAGTAAGTTTTGGAATGGATAACCTTTATATCATTATGGTATAGAACCTTTGCAGTCTTATGACTATATAGAACTGTACCTTGGGAAACCCTTAAAGGGAAAATCTAGAGGGGCCAAGTAACAAGTATTGATCTCTACTGCTAACGGTTAACGAAGAACGAAACAATGATGTCACCATATTAGTCAGTATGATCTTAGGCGGGTGCTCCATCGAGCTTCAACGAAGTTTGTTCCAACATAATGTCTGCGAATGTCCGATTTCTTGCGCATGTAGAGGAATTGCCTGTTTTGAAGACCCTTCGTTGTGCAGGTGTTTTCAGATTGAAATCAAACTTAATAGTCCAATCATGATGAAATCTTAACCGTTCAATTGCTAAGAAAAACTTTAGCGAACTCCTCCTATCATTTGATTACATTATAACCACTAAAATTCTCGCTGGATCATCGGAATATTTTCTCAACAAACTCAGCTGATTTGGACGATTGAAACATCCATGATACTGAACATTCTTAGCGGAGTGTTAACGGAACTTTCGAACGTCATTGGTTGTATAGTCTTTGGAAGATTGTTGCTAATCTAGGGCACTAAACGTTAGAGATACGACTATCATGGAATTACGATAAAGCGTGACAATCTTATCGATGCAATTGCCATAGACTTTGGGAACTAGTCCCATTTCTTGATCACGGCAATTCCTACCAACTAAGCTACTTTTGAACACTTCACATTACATCCACAAAAGTTCTTACAGGATCAAAATAAGGTTTCGGAATATTTTCCTAACAAACTGAGCTATTTGGACGATTGGACCATCCATGATACCTAACCTTCTTAGCAGTGTGTTAATTAAACTTTCGAACGTCTTTCGTTGTATAGCCTTTGGAAGGACATAATGATCTGTGTGATGATCCTTACCCATCGAGTTGGAGATGTTGCTTGTTTGTTCACTTGACTTGGAAACTAAACGTTGGAAAGTTGACTTAAAGGATCACTGGTAATCATTTTTATAAAGTGTTGGTTGCTCAGCTGGAATCTTGGCCATACATTTCTGAGAAAATGTATCTTCTGATCCCATCCAATAATTTTATCTCTTTTGCGAAGTTTCATCTACTACTTCCGAATTCTTGACCGATCTGACATCCTGTTGATATATAGAGCATAGAATAGTCTTGATATTTTGAAAAAAGAAAGGATCATTTTTAGACGATTCGCTTTTTTCTGTCTGAAATCGATTTGGTTGGTTGGTTGGTTTTCAGATTGCAAAGGTTCATAGGGCGGGTCCTTTTGGTCCCTTTCCGATACCTGTAAGTAGATTAAGAGAGAAAGGAAGAATAGGAAAGAGGAAGTTGTAGTAAGAGATTAGAGTTGGTGGCAATGAAATGAGAGATTTAAGAGATTAATAGTTAAAAGACAAAAGAGGAAAATTAAGACAGAGACAGAAAGGGATAGTGAATAAATTTAGAGGGAGAGAGTCTTAGATTCGAAGTGCTACTGATCAGGGCTGTTGGAGTTTGTTTTACCAAACTAAACGCAATGATAAAGGCGTTTAGGTTATCTAGTTTAATTCCAGATAACTCTAAAGTTTCCTCCAAAAATCGATGTTCCAGATATCAGAGTCGGATATCCCCTAATGCTGGATGGTGATATTGATTCCTCTTCTTCGTTATCTTGGTGGCTTCTGCCGTCATCATCGTTAGGTATTTCAAATTTACTGTTTCCTATAATGACAGCTATCACTTTGCTGAGTTAGGATCGACTTTGTTTCAGAAGATAATCCGAGCGCTCTTTATCAAGCTTCGGCCATATCTTTCTCGTTGGAAGGCTAGGTAAGGAATAAATAAACGTTTTTATGGCTTTCCAAGCACTTTGATCTTGTGCTTGTTGTCTCCAGTACATAATACTTGGTTCTTCCAGCGGAGTCTCGGACTTTTTTTGTCTGCCCTTTTCGGAAACAGCTTTAATCTTCGATTAATTGAAAAACTGACACGATAACAATACGAATGACTCGGTTAAAGACTATATTTTATAATTTCTAAAATGTTTATCTTTCTATATCATTCCAGAAACTATTGGAAGAACTCCCCCGTAAGACCCACATGTGACTCGGAGTGTCGAAAGCGAATCTTGTGTGATGCCAAGAGTGGACGTTCACACGATCGTCGTCACTTCTGCTCGGCTCTAGAGGCTAAAGTAGACGATGTATCGGGTAAATCATGGAAATCATGGTTCTATCGTGGTCTTAGTAATTCGTACGTACTTTTAACCTAAAACTAATTACTCTCTGTTTGTGATGTTCAATAGTTTTAAGGAAACCGATATTAATTGGCTAAAAGGTGTTATGTTATATAATATTAAGTTTAACAAACACAAGTTTTATTTCACTGCTTACTAATCTGGGTTTAAAGAAGACATTTTTTTAATATATGTATAAAAAAAATTAAAAAAATAAAAATTTTAAATATTTTCATTATAGGGTTGCCAACACTTTGAGTTTAGCACGCCATATTATATAAATTTTAAAAGATTTTAAAAACGTAAATTTATAGCTGCACTCATTTTCACTCATAATTGGTTTATTTTAAGTTAAAAAATTTATAATTATAAATATTTTGGTAATGGTTTATTTTGTACAATTAACAAATTTTACTGCTAACTTAACAGTGGCCTGATAGCACTTGATCTAAATAAGGATAAACATCTGCTATACAAAACTAATGAGCAAACCCAGGCCGAGGAACACAATGGAATTGAAACCACCACCGAGTGGCAGGTGCCGGATGTTATTATATCTTATGGTTAATTTTATGTAAATGATACACGGTTTTGGTTTAATATTTGTTTAAATAAATGTTATTCAATTTTAGGCAAAAATTGTTTTATTTAATTTATTTATTACTTTTTTCCCCCTCAACAATTTTAGCTACAGTTTACTTACTTCCATTGCTTATTTACCCAAATATTTAATGGGCTATGGCTGAGCTCACTGCCCTTCTACAGAAAGAATTTTCCTGAGAAAAGCTGCTGCTGCTACAAGACTTCCTTTAATTGTTGCTATGTACAATTAATTGAATTGTTTAATTAGTTCAAAAACCTTATTTTTTTCTATTATTAACTTAATTTTAAGGAAAAATTTTAAAAATACTTAACACACACACACATCAGGTTTAATAATTATATTAATTATGTGATAATTTTCTTAAAATTAAATATTAATAAATGAATTGTTTAATTGTTTCATTTTTATTTTTAAGTATTTTGTTATTAAGTTATTTACTTTATATTTAGTTGTTATTATTTAAATTTATATAAAGTGCAATTTTCTCATTTTATTTCTTTATCATTTGTTTTCTTTTGCTTTTACATTTCAAAATTATTTTTCTTTTTTCTTCTAAAAGAATAAAAGTCATATTTTAAGTCGAATTATTTTTTCTTGCATTTTCATTATTATCACCAGTTTTAAATATATATATATATTATTTTAATTTAATTAAGTAATAATATTTTTTTGTTAATAAATAAATAACATTTTTAAGAAATAATAAGTAATCAAAATCAGACTAAAAATGTAATGTGTCAGAGCAGGACAAACCTGTAAAAGTGTGGTATAGTTAGTATGTTCCACTTGCTAAAGTCCCCTTTACACGAGCACACAAGTAATATGATCTGTTTTGTTAAAGGGTACGAGTGGGATCGTGTAAATACAATATATAATGAAACCATTACACATGGCTCTCTTCATTTTTTGAAATGATTCAGAACATATACAAAGAAAGTGAAACAGTTGATTCCACCTTACTTTGTTATTGTTTTATACCAATCGTGTGAACACAAAAAATATAAATCATGCGTCTTTTATTCTCCGTTTTATAATACGGATGGAATTTCATTTTACTTTTTCGTAAAGTGTGATCGTGTAAAGGGACCGTTATTGTTGGAATCCCCATCAGAGAACTTAAGTGGCAACTATCTAGTAAAATTGGTTGCCTCTGCATTAAGCGTTGGTCATAAGCCTTCCATAGTTTTACCCCGGAATATATGCGAGACCATGGGTTAGTTAGTTAGTAGTTAGTTAGTTAGTTAGTTAGTTAGTTAGTTAGTTAGTTAGTTAGTTAGTTAGTTAGTTAGTTAGTTAGTTAGTTAGTTAGTTAGTTAGTTAGTTAGTTAGTTAGTTAGTTAGTTAGTTAGTTAGTTAGTTAGTTAGTTAGTTAGTTAGTTAGTTAGTAGTTAGTAGTTAGTTAGTTAGTAGTTAGTTAGTTAGTTAGTTAGTTAGTAGTTAGTAGTTAGTTAGTTAGTTAGTTAGTTAGTTAGTTAGTAGTAGTTAGTTAGTTAGTTAGTTTAGTTAGTTAGTTAGTTAGTTAGTTAGTTAGTTAGTTAGTTAGTTAGTTAGTTAGTTAGTTAGTTAGTTAGTTAGTTAGTTAGTTAGTTAGTTAGTTAGTTAGTTAGTTAGTTAGTAGTTAGTTAGTTAGTTAGTAGTTAGTTAGTTAGTTAGTTAGTTAGTTAGTTAGTTAGTTAGTTAGTTAGTTAGTTAGTTAGTTAGTTAGTTAGTTAGTTAGTTAGTTAGTTAGTTAGTTAGTTAGTTAGTTAGTTAGTTAGTTAGTTAGTAGTTAGTTAGTTAGTTAGTTAGTTAGTAGTTAGTTAGTTAGTTAGTTAGTTAGTTAGTTAGTTAGTTAGTTAGTTAGTTAGTTAGTTAGTTAGTTAGTTAGTTAGTTAGTTAGTTAGTTAGTTAGTTAGTTAGTTAGTTAGTTAGTTAGTTAGTTAGTTAGTTAGTTAGTTAGTTAGTTAGTTAGTTAGTTAGTTAGTTAGTTAGTTAGTTAGTTAGTTAGTTAGTTAGTAGTTAGTTAGTTAGTTAGTTAGTTAGTTAGTTAGTTAGTTAGTTAGTTAGTTAGTTAGTTAGTTAGTTAGTTAGTTAGTTAGTTAGTTAGTTAGTTAGTTAGTTAGTTAGTTAGTTAGTTAGTTAGTTAGTTAGTTAGTTAGTTAGTTAGTTAGTTAGTTAGTTAGTTAGTTAGTTAGTTAGTTAGTTAGTTAGTAGTTAGTTAGTTAGTTAGTTAGTTAGTTAGTTAGTTAGTTAGTTAGTTAGTTAGTTAGTTAGTTAGTTAGTTAGTTAGTAGTTAGTTAGTTAGTTAGTTAGTTAGTTAGTTAGTTAGTTAGTAGTTAGTTAGTTAGTTAGTTAGTAGTTAGTTAGTTAGTTAGTAGTTAGTTAGTAGTTAGTTAGTTAGTTAGTTAGTAGTTAGTTAGTTAGTTAGTTAGTTAGTTAGTTAGTTAGTTAGTTAGTAGTTAGTTAGTTAGTTAGTTAGTTAGTTAGTTAGTTAGTTAGTTAGTTAGTTAGTTAGTAGTTAGTTAGTTAGTTAGTTAGTTAGTTAGTTAGTTAGTTAGTTAGTTAGTTAGTTAGTTAGTTAGTTAGTTTTTAATTGTTTGCTATTGTAAAGTATTTATATATAAATGTTATCGATTACGCTTATCAAAGACACTTTTTATCGATTTAATTTTACATTGACTACCAGATGGCGCAGTGAGTGAGACATGTCTCACCTATATTAATGATGTATTTCACGAAATATAGATGGCGTAATATAACATAATATTATCAAAAAATTAATTTCTTCAATAAACGAGATGCTTCTGCTGTGCACAGAAAAGTCGTTTAAACTGCTCACAGGAAAATCGTTTTTTATATGTGCTGCAGGAAGTTGAAATCGCCCTAGGATAATGCAGCTGAAACCTGCCCATAAGAAATACCCGTGTTTGTGTGCGTGCGCAGCCAAGTCTGCTAGGCCGCAGCAGTTTTTGAAACACTCTGAATTTGCAAACCAATTTGCGTGAAGATAAAGTTGACTTTTGAAGAAGAGTCGACTATCTTTACAGAAAAAGCAAATAAAAATCGAAAAAAGTTGAAAATAATAAAAAAGAACTATTAAAATATTTATAAACTGCAAAGTTTTTATGAGATAAATAACAACTGAACAAAAGTGAGGTTAAGTTAAATCATCAATCACGGCAATATATTTGATATTTCTACTACAATTTTGTGGCCTGCGTAACTTTTGCGGCGTTCAACACACAAACACGTACATTTTTTACGGGAGATTTTTTCTCACTACATATAAAAAAAGTGAATTTTTGCTCAACTTTGCAAATTTGTTAAAATAGTAGAGATGTATTTTTTAGAAATGAATATATTTGTTAACGAAAAGTCGTAATTGACAACACTGAACCACCTGTTGTTATGGAAACGCGAACAAAACAAAAGCCATGAAAGAAACAAAACAAAACACCGCAAAAAACCAATTATAGAATTTTTCCTCAGTATTTTTTTATGTGGTGCATTTTCTAAAACATTTTCCAACTAACAATGATGAACAACGCATAAACTTGTATGGATGAAAGTGTATTTTGTATATGGACAAATTAGTGCAATTGAAAATCATAGAATTAAGAAGAAAAACGCAGAAACACGCACAGTCTCAGCGTAAAAATGTCTTTTGAGAAAGTGTTGTACAAATATGAGGAACCCCATGGACCCGGAGATGTTTATTTTATATGGCAAAAGGGTGTACAGGGAGCACTATTGGCCACAACCGGATCTGATGGTACGGTGGCTGTATTTAACAGACAAGGACAAATGGTGGAGAGAATAACACTGCCGGGGTAAGTAGACAAATTTGTAGGAAAATTAATGAATAATTAAAATATCGATTACTTGGTTAATTTTACAGTTTGTGCTCGGGTTTTGCCTGGGATAATGAAGGTGAAGTTTTAGGCATTATTACTGCCTCCTCGCCTGTCATAACTATATGGAATGCCTCTACGCAACAGAAACTTTCCGTTGAATCTGGCCTAAGGGATCCCTTGTCCTGTATTATATGGTCTAAGCAAGAACAAATCATGGCAGTAGGCACTGCCCGTGGCAATTTGGCCATTTACAATCATAAAACCAACAAGCGAATACCCGTTTTGGGTAAACATTCCAAACGCATTAATTGTGGTGCCTGGTCAGCGCAAAATCTTTTAGCTTTGGGTTCCGATGACAAAACCTTTTCTCTCAGCAATGAGGAGGGTGATTCCATGCGTGTAGTGCAATTAAGGGATGTACCCAGCGATATGTATTTTGCCGAAATGGCCAATGAAGATCGCATAAGTGGTGATAATGCCATTAGTATGATTATAGGTAAGCGTACCTTGTATCTATACTATTTACCCGAACCGGATACACCCACTGAATTGGGTTTTCAAAGTCGTTATGGTTCTTTACTGCAACACAAATGGTTCGGTGACGGCTATATACTGTTGGGTTTCTCCAATGGTCATGTTGTGGCCATTTCCACACATCCCAAAGATATTGGCCAAGAGTTGTGGCAAGTTAAAAATCACAAAGAACTGCTTACTGGTTTGGCGTATTGTCCGGCTTTGGAAATTGTTGCCTCATGTGGTGATGATAAGTATGTGGGAGTGTTATCTATTTAAATATCAAGTGTAATTATTTTGTTTTTTTAGCATTAAAATACATTCCATTACAAATTTACATGAAACGGAAAAAATTATCACTGTACCCGATCATTCGGGTGTACAAATGATTGATTGGTCGGCGGATGGTCAACTGATGTCGGTTACCACTATGACGGGTTCGGTATTTATTTATGTTACCAAACTTCCTAGTCTGCATGCAGTATCAGCTCCCCGAATAGCTATTTTAAGCAGTTTAGCCGAAGTATCCATTTATGTTTATTCTCCCGATAAGGTGAGTGAGAAACATTCGATATTTGAAAATTTTGAGTTTTTCAAAATTCTCAAATATCGATTATT